AAGGCTCTTAAAACATTCTTAGATAAATAAAGAAATATTTAGATTTTCAATGACAAGATAGAGAATACTATGCACAGGCTTTTCCGAATGGATGACAGGGGAAGAGGGGGCTATTCTCCGTTGGGAGCTTTGTCTATTGGGTTCAGCCCAAAAACCCAAATGTATTAACCCCACAGCGCCAGGAAGAGGACTGGACACCATGTAAAGAAGATTTCTGCAGGATCCAGTAGCCTGCATAATGTGGAATATTCTTCATTACTGGTAAGTTAGGTCACTATGGCCTTTACCACTTTCAAGCTAAGAACCTTAAGTTGGGGTGTTTACTAAGTGTAAAAAATATCTGAAACCACCATGCAGGTTTAGGGCAAGATTTTTCAGTGGTCAGCTCTTTTGACGACCATCTCATGTATATTGAGAGCTTTCAATGCCAATCCCGATAAAAATGCCTCAAGGTTTTTATTCTAGCATCTTGATTTATAGGTCATTATTTTATACTATTATGTTAAAGACAAATGTTAAGCTTTTAAGCTTTTATTTATTACTTACTAAATATCTCTTACTGATCACCCTTCCCTGGAGTGCCTATCCATAATATCCCTTTGTTGCACTCTTAAAAAGAAATCTAGTTTACTCACAAAACTTCAGGCTGACCTAACGTCAGGAGGGGGTCAGTTTGCAATTTGGAGAAAAAGAAGAGGAACCCAATGGGCCCTATAAGATGTAGACTAAGTACTTCTTATGTAGTTGTCTGCTCCAGATAAGGAGGGACCTACACATCAAACTCGTTGGCAGTTAATGAGGCAGTGAGACAATCTGAGCATACATCACATCAGGGAACGTGGCAGATAATTGAAAAGTGCAGCTGGATTCGAGTGTAAACATGTTCAGTGTCTTAGCTGGGATACCAGCAAGAGCTCGATTATGCCTAAGAGGGTAGAACAAATCATTCTAACAAAGTGCTTTACCATGAAATCAGGATACAATGCCAACAATGTGCCCTAAAAATGTTTATTTTCAGTTGAAGACTATTTAAACAAGACGTGTTCTCTAATCGCTAATAAATAACTTGAGGAACTTTTGGAAATAGTTGAGAAGTTCAGTACTCCCTACAGTGTAGTATTGGCATGACGCCTGTTTTTGAAAGATTAAGGTTCTCAGGGGGTCTTTGTGTTCTGTATGCATGCAAACAGGAAGCCTGTAGGTTCTATATGATTTAAGTAAGAAAGACTTTCTATATCAATTAAGGCCTGCAACGCAGTCTAATTAGGCCAGTGATGCTTTGAGAATGCTGGTATGCCAGCACAAGATAGTTTTACTAAGCAATAGTAAAACCCGCTGGCTATTACCGTTACACTTTGGCTAATATTACCTTATATTCCAAAACCTACTACTCTTTTCTACTTCTTGTGTTAAAAGGCTTAAAACATTTCATAGGTTTTTTTTTTCTTTTTTTTTTTTGGCACGTTTGAGAGATTTCCCTTTTACCACTTTCTACTTGGTCTATTGTAGAAAAACAGCTGAGCGGGAATATTGTTAACTGTGTGGATGTCATATAACATTGTCCAAGCACACGCCTACAGCATATTCTGTGTTCACCTACAGCATATTCTTTGTTCACTGGATACAGAAGATGAGAGATCGTTGTACCAGGCAGGCCCCGGTACCATGTGATTGCTGTGACCAAGCACAGCGATCACGTGTTAATTGTACACAATAAATGTCTTTCATTCATTGTGTACTATTTTTATGATCTCTGTGATTGGCCACAGTGGTCACATGGTACAGACATGGTCAATCACAGCGCAACTGTACTATGTGATAGCTGTGACAAATCACAGCAATCACAATAGTAAACACTGGCAATGAATGGATGCCATTCATAAAAATGATTGCTTGTAACAGTGATCATCACTGTTATAAGCAATCATAGTAAAAAAAAAAAAAAAGAGATCACCTCCCTGGAGTAGTATAGTGTCACTATGGTAACACTGTACTGCTCTGGAACAGTACGTAAAAAAAAAAACAACTAATTTGATTTAATGTCTTCATGTCCCAAAGAATGGGGTAAAAGTTTCCGGTATTGAGGTAGTTAAATCTGAACTCCAGGCACCATGGTTTTACAGTTGTAGATGTATTATAAGTTCCTCAGCTTCACAGTGTCGGATTTGTTTTTTTCTTTCTTTTTTTCATCAGCATAAAAATGTGTGCTTTTAGCTATGTCTTTTGATACAGCTTTTGATGTCTTTCTGCACCGCACCAGCACTGAAGATGTGATTGACACCAGTGCTGGTGCCATGTCTTTGCAGGCTGTGTACATTTTAAACACAGCCTGTGCTGGGGCCGCCGCAGGGTCATCACAGGCTGTATTTTGTGAAAGGGCAGACCGTACACAAGGGCAAAGACATGACATGCTGGTGTCAATCATAGCTGCAGAGCTGGTGTCGGCAAAGAGCACAAGTAAAACGGAAGTAGTACTAAAAGGCATAGCTAGAAACATATTTTTTCACTGATGAAAAAAAGAAAGAAAACATATCCTACACTGCAGAGGTAAAGAACACATCTACATATCATTTAATCAGGGTGCCTAAAATCTCTCAAACATGTGCAACAAAAAATTGATGTTCTACCAGAAAGGCAGGATTTGGGATTTTAACTATTGTTAGCCACAGTGTAATGGATAGCCTTCAAATTGCAAGAGGTACAACAAACAGGAATTGACCCCGTGCTGGGGTAGCAGAATTCCCAGCTTCAGCTCCTGTCCCAGCTTTCATTATATAAGTATTTGTGGCATTCTGCTTTGCCCCACTAATGGTGCATGTTTTCCCCATCACAAGGTCCTTGGCACTGATGTAATTTAAAGCTCCATTCATATTGGCGCATCTCCAAAGTCACATGATTTCCAGTGCGACTTTGGAGTGCGACTTTGATGTGACTTGTGCTGCGACTTTGATCCGACTTTACATTCATTGGATTAAAGTTGCATCAAAAGTCATACCAAAGTAGTGCAGGAACTGCTTAGAAGTCACTGTGACTTGAAGTTACACAGATTTGAATGGTACTCATTGAGAAACATGGACTTGTCATGTGACTTTGGACCCCAAAGTTGCATGGAAGGTCGAACAAGTGTGAATAGACTCTAAGGTGAAACATTAATTTATGTCCCTTTAGGCTGGACAAGTTTGGCTCCTGGCACTGGGGGTGTGAAGAATGATTCCCTACTTTGAGGACACACTAATGGAAACCTCTGCATAAATTCTCAACCCATATATCTCTCTACACTTTACTGAACCCCTTCCAGAGCACCAAATAACTAGCTGAGTATAATTATCACCTGTGCCAGGATCCTGTCTGAGCCATTGCACAGTGCCTACATTGGAATCATACAATGTTGAATCCCAGAACCAAAACAAACTGCCCTCTATTTGAGGAGACAACAGTCATAGTCTCACTGTTATGTCCATTAAAAGAAACGTACATGCTTTGTTTGAAGGTCACTTCTCTAGATTCTAAGAGCACAACACGTAGGGTTCCACTTTTATTTTTTGGGGTGCTGAGTTTATTTTGTTGTCCATATACCATATATTAATGTTGCATCTACTTTTTTTCCACATTAGATTGGAAGTTTCTATCACATTTTCCAGTATTTTGTTTTAGTGTTTTCACACATGCTGTTTTTATTTGATTCATCCCATATTAAGTTTACAATTTAATTCACAGTATTTTTCTTCTTTTTTGGCTTCTAAACACTTTAAAATAAAAATAAAAAATGAATTATACAACATGAGCTGCAACAATATCTGAGACAAACTACATCTTCCTGACCTGTCATTTGCTCTTCAATTTGAAAAAAAAAAAAATTGGAATTTGCCCAGACATGCCAAGATTTTTCATAGATAATGAAACACATGGATCATTCACATGATTAAATCATTGGGTTGAAACTTGTGTACATTGGTAAGGTTCTGTTGAAAATAACTTGAAGTCCTAAAACAATGGCAGACAGACATTTGTTATCCCAGAAAACAGCACAGCATCCTTTCTCTCCACAACATGAAAAATGTAGAGTACCTTTGCACTAGATGACTTTAGGACTAAACGACATAATGTGTTTTTAATTATTTGAGCCAAAGGACTAAGAAATCACCCACACATGGCTACAGATTGCCCCAACTAATTCCATGTTCATCTCTATAGTGGACGTTGGGCAATCATGGGTGGGCTCAAGTGATTTCATATGAATGTGATCATATCTTTGTGAATATTCAGTTACATGGTTTGTAAAACCTCAAAAATTATCCATGTAGTTTAGGCATAAAACATACACAGGACAACATCCTCATAGCTATGGAAAGGCCAGAATGATCTGAAATGAATACAGTTTTTTCTGTGTTTGCCAGTTAGTTAAATGGCATGGTAGTTTCTTTTAGCTCACATGGGGATGATATGTAGAAACAAAGAAGACTTAGGCAAAAGTGTAGAGTTGCAAGCAACCAATCAAATGTTATCTGTCCAAAAAAGGAATTTAGCTACCGTGGGCAGCAGCTTCAGTTGTATTCCAATTCTCTTGGACTCTGTTGGCAAGATATCAAAACTCGAGCTTATCCCCATAATGTACCATTGCAAAGACCAAGAGATGGAATTATTCTCCCACACTAGACTGTCTGAAAGAAAGGGACATCTTTGTAATGGCCATGTGGGGGGCATATAGAGACCTGGGAGGGAACCTGTATGAGTCTAAGAAAGTGTAGGTGTCTTAGTGTCCAGCTACAGCTAAAACATCAGTTGCAGGAGGTACTGGCCTTTGTTGAAACATAAATGTAACTTTGCCTAAATAATACAATATATAATTCAGCTCAGTCACATCACCACCTATGTTATATGGTGGTTTTCAAGAAAGTAGTCACACATTTTCTTTTAAAAGTCTTAATGCTACATCCTAATAAGCAGCCATAGTACTTCCTCTGTCAATTTGAATTATAACACTGCTGTGTCTTGCAACAGGATCAGAGCTAATGCCCAAAGCCCTTTCTACCAGGATAGTGGGAGGTATATGGTGGTTTTTCACCCTGATCATCATCTCTTCTTACACGGCAAACCTGGCTGCCTTCCTGACAGTGGAAAGGATGGAATCTCCGATCGACTCAGCAGATGACTTGGCCAAACAAACAAAAATAGAATATGGGGCTGTCCGAGATGGCTCAACCATGACCTTCTTTAAGGTAAGGTGGTCAATGAACTTCCTTAATTTTCTTTCAAAAATTGTGATCTGCAAAAGTGGCACAGCTCTACTATTCTGTGTTTAAAGCTGAACTCCAGGAAAATTAGGAAAACACAAAATAATTTAAATATGTATACATTTATAAAAATTGTTTTTAAATGCAGTTGGAGTAAGTACCTAAAATTTTCTTGGTATAAAGGCTCTTTCACACCAGTTTTTGATGTGCATTTGATGCTTTCCCATTCACACATGCCCTCAACATCAGTGAACAGATATTCATTAGTGTGGTGTGGCTATATTACAGCCTTAAGCTAATGTTAAATAAAAATTATGTTTAAGAACACAGGTCTGCAAAAACATTTTTTTCAAGAGCTGTTTTGGTTATTCCACGTAATCTTTATGTTTTATGGTGCGATGAATCCGAAAAAGACCTCCATTTTGTCATAGGACATCATGTTTCCTAATAATTTAGGTAACTATGTTAAATAAGGCAATACCTCAAAATAAATGGAAATAGACTTATAAAATTAAAGTTTTATTACAATTTTTTCATGAAAATACTTTTTTGAACTGAAATGAGCTCACCTACACACACTAAACTCGATTCTTCTTCCCTGTGAGGCTCCTCTCTTGGTGCATTTACACGTGAGTAGCATCTGGAATGTCTCTCTGAAGCATCCAACAGTAGTCTGCCATCATTGTAATGCTCCGTTTTCCCTGGTATCTCCTTTACATCTCTTTAATGCCTTGGTGGAATCGTTCACCTTGTTCCTCACTCACAGCTCCCAAATTTTCAGGAAAGTAGTCAAGGTGGGACTGGAGGAAATGCATTTTCAAACTCATCAGGCAACCTAAAGCTTGAAATGCTTTCAGCATTCGTCCGACGATCTTTTTGTAGTGAGGATCTTTGTTATTGCCTAAAAATTTCTGTATGACTTCTTTAAATGCAATCCACCCTTCTTTTTGAGGATCCGTCATGGTATTGACAAACTCTTGATCAACTATAAGCCTTCTAATGTCTGGTCCGACGAAACACACCTTCCTTCAATTTTATCTCCGACAGGCTTGGAAACTTGGTGACCAAGTATTTGAAGCATTCTCCATCTCTAGGAAGTGATTTTACGAATTGCTTCATCAATCCCAATTTTATGTGGAGAGGTGGTAGAAGAACTTTATGGGAAGGTACCAAAGTTTCTCGGAGGACATTTTTTTCACCGACTGTTAGCACCCTCGGCTGCCAACTCTCCTTGGTCCAGTAATTTTGTTGGTCTCGACTGTCCCATAGACACAGAAAACAAGGGTATTTGGTATCCCACCCACTGGATTCTTCAGGAAAGATTTACCCCTTCTACCATTCTCAGGGCTGAGGCTTACACATACAGCATGCTGCTGAGTATCCCAGTAGTCAGACATGTCACTCAGAGCAGCATTTGTATTCACCCCCTTTCCCTGTTCTGGTATCTGCCTCTGGTTTCCTACTCCTGGCTTGTATTTGGCTTGTCTGTTGAGCACTGCTTCTGATTGGTCACCGATGGTTAACTTGGGATTTTGGCTCTTATGTGCCACCTGTCCTGACCTTTATCTTAACTCCCTGACTATACTCATCTACAAACTACTCTGATCATCATCCCTGATTTCTTGACTATGCTTGTCTGTTGACTGCCCTGACCCTCATCCCTGATTCCCTAACTGTATTTGTCTGCTGACTGCCCCCATCCCTGGTTCCATGACTGTGCTTGTTTTGTTACTGCCCTCATCCATGGTTCTTTGACTTTGCTTGTCTGTCTGACAGCTACCCTCATTTCTGACTGTGCTTGCCTACCAACTGCCCTCATCCCTATCTCCTTGACTATGCTTTCCTACTAACTGTTGACTGTCCTCATTTCTGATTCCTTGACTATGCTTTCCTACTAACTGTTGACTGTCCTCATCTCTGATTCCTTGACAATGCTTGTCTAGTAACCGATGACTGCCCTCATTTCTGATTCCTTGACTATGGTTGTCTACTAACTGATGACTGTCATCATCCCTGATTCTTTGACTATGCTTGTCTAGTAACTGCTAACTGTCCTCATCTCTGATTCCTTGACTGTGCTTGTCTACTAACTGCTGATTGTCTTCATTCTCGATTTTTTGACTGTGCTTGCCTGCCAACTGCCCTCATATGTAATTCCTTGACTATGCTTTCCTACAAATTTCTGACTGTACTCATCTGTGGCTTCTTGACTATACTCATCTGTTGACATCCCCCATTGCCGATGTCTTGAATATGCATGTCTGCAAACTTGCCTGAGCTCACTCCTGACCTGCCTACATTTCACCAGCACCGCTTCATACTTCACTTGGTCCTTTCCAACTGTTAGCTGCTGCCAGCCTAGCCATCTCATTGGCGGTAGCCCAGGAGTTGTTATGTAGCAAAATCCACCTGACCTTCAAGGACTCTGGTGGGAGTCTGAAACTTTTAGAGTCTGCATACTAAGCCAGCAGATATGTTAGATTGTTACCTCCTTGAGAGACAGGGATTGATGTGAATGGATTTATGTGTTCTATAAAGTGCTGCATAATATGTTACTGCTATTATAAATAATGTGTTTTACAGAAGAAGTGCCCTGAAAATGTCAGTTTATGCATAAAGGCCACTATAGACTATAGAGGCTGTGGATGGCTCAATGGGAAAACAACATGCAGCAAGGTTTTCCATTTGCCCGTTTACTCTGCTCCCTGACAAGCCATAAGTAGGGATGTCTTCTGGTGCCTCCTGCTCTGGAAGCTGTGAACGGCGATCCTTCTAAAACAACCTAAGTCGGTTTTTCTGATCCTCTTTTCTTATATAGTGCAGTAAGTCCTGAATTCATTGTTAAAGTAGCAGCTGTCAGCTGTGCATTGTGCATCTGCAAACCAAATAAAAAAAAAAGTAGATGCACGATGACAAAATGTATGAGACAGATGAAAAAGCTCAAAATAATAAAGCTGAGATGTTCATTGTATTTATACTGTGCTGATTGTAAAACATTGCTCAAAGATGGAATTATACATTTAGTGGATGAATAATGGCCAGTGCCATTTCCTCCCACTGTTCAAGGGCATTTTTTGTTTATTTGTTATTTTTTTCTCCAAGAAAAAAAGCACCTTTTCATTATTTCTGCTTTAGTCACAAATGCACCTGTATTAAACTACATCAGCATATATCCAGGTTAGAAAAATGTCATTGTTCTGCAAAATCTGGTTTCCAGGAAACCACTGAGCTCGAATGACTATTCCAGTTTGCTTTTAAATTATGCTTAACTAAAGCATCCTCAGCCAGATAATTAAGGGGATGTCATGATGGAAGAGCAGGTCTTCTTTACTTTGTTGTACATGCACATAGCAAGCTCTGAGCCGCCTTCGCACCCAGAAGGTTAAACAATGGTATGTCTGATTTTCTGCTAGGAAATTGTCTTCTTTACTTTGTTAGCTACCATTAGAAGGAGCTGAGTACACACTAAAAAATCCTCAGCATTTAAGAGAGACATGAATGTTGAACAGAAAGGTAATCTTTCAAAGACAGCTAAGCTGTATCCCAGCAGTGTAAAATGCAAGATTATATTTACCATTACTATTTAAAGCACATGTATCAAACACAAGGCCCACTTCGTCGTGCCCCGTGACTGCCCAAATGAGTGAAGTGTGCAGTGATTCTAAGATCGACGGCACTCATCTGCATGTCATACTGACTGACAGTATTATTTCTCTTCCCAGCAGACGATTCGCATCGAATCGAATTTCTCCCGCAAATTCGGCGAATCAGCCGAATCGAATTTTTGAATAATTTTAGCCACATGTATCAAACACAAGGCCCACAGGACTCTAGGCCATTTCATGTGGCCCTTGCACCTCTCCTGCAGCTACGGCACCCCACTTGCCTCCCTCCCCACCTTGTCTGAGCAGACGGCAGCAGAGAGTAGGACAGAACTCCTCCGCCACAGCCTGCACTTCTCCGTGCAATCCCAGATAGGCTCGTCCTTACCTTCCCGCTGTCTCAGCAGTCGGAAACAGAGAGGAGGACAGAACTCCTGCTATAGATCCTGAGCCTCTCTGTGCAGCTGCAGCACCCCCATATCTCCGCCAACTCTGGTCTCATTCTGCAGACTCCGGTAACTGATTCCAGCCCTCCTCTGCTCCTTCTCCAGACCCTGCACTTTTGGTTTCCAAGCTCCGCCCCCATCTTTTTCTCAGCAGCACAAGATAAGGGGGGTGCACTGTGATGTAAGGAATGGTGAAGGACTCTTGAATTCTGATAGTGGTGGTGGTGGTGGGGGTGGGAGTCTCTTGACATTTGATGTAAGGGGGGCAGGGGTGCTTTGGACATCTACACTTACAGATACAACCAGCCCTTCGAGGGCAACCATAATGCTGATACGGCCCGCAATTAAACTGTGTTTGACACCCCTCATTTAAAGAGTCAAACAGAAAAATATATACTACCCACCTCCAGTGCTAAGACATAAGACTATCACTGATGTCTAGTCCAACCCAGAAAGAAATGGGTGGAGGATGAGGGACTACATTGGCTGTACGTGTATTGCTGAAGTTTTTTCTACCATCATTCAACTTATATTTGGGATCAGATTAAAGATAAAAGAGTGGATTTACCCGTGCTCCCCTTTCTCTTATCTGTCTACTCTTGTGCCATCTACCTCTACCCTTTTTTTCTTTATTAGTCTCTATATCTTTTTTCACTACCTGCCATCCCCTCTCTCCTCCTTATTTCCCTGCATTATCTTATCTCCCTTTTTCCCTCTTTTCCACCCTCTCATTCATCTGTCATTCTCGCCCATTCTTTCTTTGTCATGCTTCTGTCCTCTTCTCTCCCCTTTCTGTTCTGTTTCCCTTCTTTATGTTTTCCTCTCCTTCCTTCTGTTCTCTTCTCCTTACCCTTCCCCTCCTCTACTACCCCTTCCTTCTGATCCCCTCTTCTGCTTTCTCCCCTCTTCCGTCCATTCCCGTCCTTCCCTCTTAAGCTCCCATTCTCTATTTTCTCCTCCACTACCCTCCTTTTCCCTCCACTTCTCTCCTCTTCTTTCCTCCTGTCTTCTTTCCCTGGATTTCCTGTCCCCTCCTTTTCTTCTCCCTCCTCTCTTCTCCCTTCCTTTTTCCTCCTCTTTTCTCTCATCTCCCCCTCCTTTTTCCTTCGTTTTATTTTTTTCCCCTCCTCTCTTCTCCTTTCCTTTTCAGTACACTCTTCTCTATTCCCCTTTACCAACTCTCTTCTTTGTTGGCCTCCTTTTTTTATACTTTTCCCTCCTGCTTTCTCTTCTCTACCCTTCCTCTCCCTCCCCCCACTCTCTTATTCCCTTCCCCTCTCTCCTTTCCTCTCTCCACCTTCTCCTTTCTTCTCCTGTATTGTCCTCTTTTTTCTCCTTGTCTACCCTGTTCTCCATTACCTACCCTCTCCCTGCCTATCTTTTCCGTACCTTGTTCTCCCCTGAACACTCCTCTCCCCTTTGTTACCCTCCCCCTACTTTATTCACCTTTCAACCCCCTACTCCCCTCTCCTTTCCTCTCCTCTACTTCCCTTTCCTCCTCTCTCACCTTCTCTTTAGCCAGCCATTGATGGATTGAATCTTGGCAAGTTCGGCAGCATCAATTGACTTCAGAACAGCCAGCCTTTCAGTCGTTTTGCGTGTCGCTTGCAGTGATTGTTATGCTCTGCTGGCCGGCCAGCCCGACCAGCAGAACTCGCTAGCACTGCGGGATGCATTCTACTATCAACACTGAATGTGTTGATTGGAGAAGTGAGCAATTTGGGCATCACAGTGGCTAAGTGGTTAGCACTTCTTTCTAGCAGCACTAGTGACTTTGGTTCAAATCCCAACCATGGCAGTACCTGCCTGGAGTTTGCATGTTCTCCCTGTGCCTGTGTCCTGTGTGCGTTTCCTCCAAAACTCCAAAGAAATGCTGGTAAGTTAATTGGCTCCTGTCTAAATTGGCCCTAGTATGTGTATGTGTGAATGTGAACTAGAGACCTTAGATTGTATACAGCTTGAGTGTTAGAGACTGATATGAATGTACAATATATATGTATGCACTGCGTACAATTGACGGGGCTATATACACTCACCAGCCACTTTATTAGGTACACCTTGCTAGTGCCAAGAAAATATCCCCCCACACCATTACACCACCAACACCAGCCTGAACCGTTGATATAAGGCATGATGGATCCATGCTTTCATGTTGTTATGCCAAATTCTGATCCTACCATAAGAATGTCGCAGCTGAAATAGAGTCTGCCCATTCTCCTCTGACCTCTCACATCAACAAGGCATTTTCGTCCACGCAACTACGGCTCACTGGATCTATTCAAGTGAGTCAATGTCACTTATATCCCCTTTCTTCCCCATTCTGATGCTCGGTGTGAACTTCAGCCAGTTGTTTTCACCACATCTAGATGCCTAAATGCATTGAGTTGCTGCCATGTGATTAGCTGATTAGCAATTTATGTTACCAAGCAATTGAACAGGTGTACCTAATAAAGTGGCCAGTGAATGTAAGTACCTGAAATTAATAAATAGAAATTATACAAAATTGTATCATCTATGGCCTGCCTTAGATTGGATTGAAGACAAGAAAATTGCTCAATGCTCCCATCAACACAATCAGTTTTGATGGGGAATTTCTCCCACAGCGTTATCATGTTCTGCCGGCGGGGAGTGCTGGGAGCCTTCTCCACTGGCAGAATACACATGATCATTGTTGGCAGATATAGCACTGATTGCACAGGCTGGTTGTACTGAAATCGATCAATAGACAGACTTCAGTACAACTAGCCTGTCCATACATGGATCAAAATTTGTCCAGTTCCTGCTGAATTGTCCAAATTTCAATCCATCAGTGGCTGGCCTTGTTCTTTTCCCTAGCTTCTGCTCATCTACTTCCTCTCTTCCTCTCTTCTCTTCTCCTCTCTTCTCTTCTGAGCTGCCCTTTTCTTCCCTCCACTTTCCCATCTGTTCTTCCTTTCCTTCCCAACTGAAACCTCAATATCCCATTACCTAATATATGTTCCCTTTGCTGATTCTACGTCACTTTCTTTAACAATACAACTATCTTCCTCTTTCACTCACTACTTGTTTTGTTTTCTTCCCCTACCATTGTTTTTAGTGTTCTTGTCCCACTCCCTGCCAAAGCCACCTAGGGCACAGCCACGGCCAGGGCCACCGATAGGGCAGTAAAGCCAGCCCTGCTGTAACTCCTATTATTGTAGAACAGTATTGAGTACCAAAGGCCCATACTCCATTCAACTCAAGTTCCCATGAGGGTCTTATATTAAATAGGACCCAAGCCCTCCAAACACTGTATTATGTATAATCCGTCCTTTCTCTTTTTTTCCTCTTTTTCTCACTATCCTCCACTACTTCTTATTTATTTCTCTTTGCTCTTCATGTAGCGTTGACTTCTTTTTATAAACATTTAAATTTTCTGGTAAGACTTGTTTGTTTTTATTGGTGAGCTCATATAGAGCAGTCATGATAGAGGGTTTAATACTGACATTTTATAGAGTAGTGAAATAGATAGACTGACTGACTGTCCTCAAACACATCTAAATCAAAAGGTAAGGCTGAATATTCCTAAACTATTTATTATTTGACTTCTGAAAAACTTTACTCACAGCAAAGCAATTTTTCCATGTAATAGATGTTTTGCACCAGGCAGGTGTCTGATAGCTGGTTGTGTTCTTTTCAGAAATCCAAGATTTCTACCTATGAAAAGATGTGGGCGTTTATGAGCAGCCGGCAGCAGACAGCACTGGTAAAGAACAATGATGAAGGCATACAGCGAGTACTCACCACGGATTATGCATTGCTCATGGAGTCCACCAGCATTGAATTTGTCACACAACGAAACTGTAACTTGACCCAAATTGGGGGCCTCATTGACTCAAAAGGATATGGTGTTGGTACACCCATTGGTAAGTCTACTTCGAAATTTCAGAGGCTTGCTTAATTTACAGGAATATCACATTGGCCCAAGCCTGGGGCAATATATTTTTCAGGCAGTTAAAGACTTTTTTTACTACTTTCAAAAGTAAAAGGGGTGTGGATAGGCAAGAAACTTGTGATATTCTGTTTCAAAAATACTTGTCACAGGACAAGATATCACCTGGTGTGCTGCATATTGTTTATGATTGTTTAATTACATTATGATGGACAGGTAGGCATGCAAAAGATTGTTCACCTGATCTAAAATCTTGCAATATAGGAAATTTTTCTGACACTTATCTATGAAAAATCTTTCTTCCAGCAGTCTCTCTTAAATGAACAAACTAGTCAGCACAGTAAATATGGCCTTACAGTGAATATAGAGACCCTTATGGTCACTTCAAAATGGTTGCACACTTTGGAAATTTATCAAGACTGTAATATCAAGCGATTTTACAGTACGCTTTTATTGAGTATTTTGAAGAGTGAAGAGAATGTGTTCTATGTGGAGAAGGTCTTAGCAATGAAAAGTTTTATATTTAATAAGCAAAAATAGGCATTTTTAAGAAAACACTCACACCATGAAAACAAACCCATGGCAATGCAGAGGGCTTGAAGAACTGTTTTTCTTTATTGTGGAAGGGTAAGTCATTTAAAGCAGAAACAGCATACAGGACAGGTGCTGTAGGTAGGTAGCTAGCTTCATACCACCAGCTTAGGAAACATTGTTCTGCAGTCCCTGCCCCCACCCCTACACACACACAATGTACACTCACCAGCCTCTTTATTAGGTACAATAGTGCCAGTGCTAGTGCTAAGAAAATAACTAGAGATGAGCGAAGTATTCAAAAATTCGATTCGGCTGATTCGGCGAATTCGCGGAATAAATTTGATTCGAGTCGAATATATTCGCTGCGAATTTAACTTATAAAAAGGGTGTTTCTAGGCTTCAGAGAGCCTTTATATTAGTGCAGAACACTGTACCTTTAATTTAAATGCCCTTGGAGTCTGCTGGGGAAGAGAAATAATACTGTCAGTCAGTATGACATGCAGATGAGTGCCGTCGATCTTAGAATCACCGCACACTTCACTCATTTGGGCAGTCACGGGGCCAAAACCAGAGTGTGGAGCCACAGTGTGGCGGTGGAGGCAGCAGCAATGGGAGGCCATACAGCAGCCCTATGACAAAATGGAACCCACCAGCAGTGTGAGGAGACCTGAAAGTGGCACATGGCAGAGTGTGGCAATGGAGACAGCAGCAATGGGAGGCCGTACAGGGACCCATGACACACTCTGGACCTGGCAGCAGCATGAGGAGGCGGTACAGGGCCCAAGACAGATTACGGGCCTGGCAGCAGCATGAGGAGTCGGTACGGGGGCCCATGGCAGATTACGGGCCTGGCAGCAGCAATGGGAGGCCCGTAATCTGCCAGCACCCTATGACTATGAAAAATGGAAACCCACCAGCAGTGTGAGGGACACCTGAAAGTGGCACATGGCAGAGTGTGGCGATGGAGACAGCAGCAATGGGAGGCCGTACAGGACCCATGAGACACTCTGGACCTGGCAGCAGCATGAGGAGGCGGTACAGGGGCCCATGACAGATTACGGGCCTGGCAGCAGCATGAGGAGTCGGTACGGGGGCCCATGGCAGATTACGGGCCTGGCAGCAGCAATGGGAGGCCCGTTAATCTGCCATGCACCCTATGACAAAATGGAACCCACCAGCAGTGTGAGGAGACCTGAAAGTGGCACATGGCAGAGTGTGGCGATGGAGACAGCAGCAATGGGAGGCCGTATAGGGACCCATGAGACACTCTGGACCTGGCAGCAGCATGAGGGAGGTGGTACAGGGGGGCCCATGGGCAGATGAAGGAGTTACGGGGGCCTGGCCAGCAGCAATGGGAGGCCCGTAATCTTCCAGCACCCTATGACAAAATGGAACCCACCAGCAGTGTGAGGAGACCTGAAAGTGGCACATGGCAGAGTGTGGCGATGGAGACAGCAGCAATGGGAGGCCGTACAGGGACCCATGAGAGACTCTGGACCTGGCAGCAGCATGAGGAGGCGGTACAGGGGCCCATGACAGATTACGGGCCTGGCATCAGCATGAGGAGTCGGTACGGGGGCCCATGGCATAAATTACGGGCCTGGGCAGCAGCAATGGGAGGCCTGTAATCTGCCAGCACCCTATGACAAAATGGAACCCACCAGCAGTGTGAGGAGACCTGAAAGTGGCACATGGCAGAGTGTGGCGATGGAGACAGCAGCAATGGGAGGCCGTACAGGGACCCATGAGACACTCTGGACTGGCAGCAGCATGAGGAGGCGGTACAGGGGCCCATGACAGATTACGGGCCTGGCAGCAGCTGATGAGGAGTCGGTACGGGGGGGCCCATGGCAATTACGGGCCTGGCAGCAAGCAATGGGAGGCCCGTAATCTGCCAGCACCCTATGACAAAATGGAACCCACCAGCAGTGTGAGGAGACCTGAAAGTGGCACATGGCAGAGTGTGGCGATGGAGACAGCAGCAATGGGAGGCCGTACAGGGACCCATGAGACACTCTGGACCTGGCAGCAGCATGAGGAGGCGGTACGGGGGCCCATGGCAGATTACGGGCCTGGCAGCAGCAATGGGAGGCCCGTAATCTGCCAGCACCCTATGACAAAATGGAACCCACCAGCAGTGTGAGGAGACCTGAAAGTGGCACATGGCAGAGTGTGGCGATGGAGACAGCAGCAATGGGAGGCCGTACAGGGACCCATGAGACACTCTGGACCTGGCAGCAGCATGAGGAGTCGGTACGGGGGCCCATGCAGATTACGGGCTGGCAGCAGCAATGGGAGGCCCGTAAGGGCCTGCAGCAGCAATGGGAAGGCCCTATGACAAAATGGAACCCACCAGCAGTGTGAGGAGACCTGAAAGTGGCACATGGCAGAGTGTGGCGATGGAGACAGCAGCAATGGGAGGCCGTACAGGGACCCATGACAGATTCTGGACCTGGCAGCAGCATGAGGAGGCGGTACAGGGGCCCATGACAGATTACGGGCCTGGCAGCAGCAATGGGAGGCCCGTAATCTGCCAGCACCCTATGACAAAATGGAACCCACCAGCAGTGTGAGGAGACCTGAAAGTGGCACATGCAGAGTGTGGCGAGTGTGGCGATGGGAGGCCGACAGGGACCCATGAGACACTCTGGACCTGGCAGCACGCTTGACTTTCTGGCCACATACGGGCCTGGCAGCAGCATTAGGCTACGTTTATCTTCCTCGGGCGCACCCTTGACAAAATGGAAAAATTGAGGAGCCTGAAAGTGGCACACCGCGAGTAGGAAATGGGCACCCCTGGCCACGCTTGACTTTCTGGCCACTCGCTACTCGGGCGGCTCACGGGCTGGCCACACGCGACTGAAACTTTGCCCGCTACTCCTCACTGGCTGACTGCTACTTCACGTGCACACCGGCACCACTACTGGCCGTGGTGGTAGGCTGCAGTGGAGCTGGTGCTCTACTCCGTAGCCGTTTGCCTCCACTGACACTGCTGCGACCTGCTGCCTCCTGGGCAACCCACCGACTGTTTTGCTCGCTGCCAAGCTGGCACCCTCTTCTCCTGATGATGCGGAAGCAATAGCCTGATGACGACGAGGCTGCCAAGTGCGATCAGCCTTCATCATCATCAATTAGGGTCTCTGCCTCACTACTAGCCCCCTCGGCTGCGTGTGGTCAGGAGACAGACCTGTCTCTAGACCGGCTACCAAGCCACTCTCCTCGCCAGTACTTCTTCGCCTGGCTGCTGAAGAGGCGGATGTCTCCCCCCGTTCCTGACCGCCCTCTCTTAGCTCTTCCTCACTGTACAGTGGGGCTGAGCCCACAGCATGCGATACTTCGCTTGGTGAGGGAAACACCAAAGGACAGGGGCAGGTAGAGGACACGTGATTTCAGTGGGCTTGCTCCCGGGCCATGCCAACTAACGGTTGTGTCTGACGTACCCACCGACCGTTGGCTGTAGGTGTCAGAGGTGACCTGGGAAGAGGAAGACGACAGAGCCAACCAATCGATGACGGCAGGGTTGTCGGTGGAGACACGACCGCTGGATGACACCGGGAGCACTGGCCTCTGGCTGCGACTAGTGCTAGCTTGCCTCGACCCCTTCCTCTGCTGCCACGTCTGCTCGCTCCTGAAACATTGCCTCCTGCCTTCTATGCCACTCCTCTGCGTGTTGTCTGACATACTCTTTAATTCAACGATTCTGTGTCCCTGAGTAACGATTCTGTGTCCCTGAGTAACAATTCTGTGTCCCTGAGTAACAATTCTGTGTCCCCTGAGTAACGATTCTGTGTCCCTGAGTAACAATTCTGTGTCCCTGAGTAAACAATTCTGTGTCCCTCAGTAACAATTCTGTGTCCCTCAGTAACAATTCTGTGTCCCTCAGTAAATTCTGTGTCTGTCCCCCTGAGTACCAATTCTGTGTCCCTCAGTAACAATTCTGTGTCCCTGAGTAACAATTCTGTGTCCTGAGTAACAATTCTGTGTCCCTGAGTAACAGTCTGTGTCCCTGAGTAACAATTCTGTGTCCCTGAGTAACAATTCTGTGTCCCTCAGTAACAATTCTGTGTCCCTCAGTAACAATTCTGTGTCTGTCCCTGAGTAACAATTCTGTGTCTGTCCCTGAGTAACAATTCTGTGTCCCTCGAGTAAACATTCTGTGTCCTCAGTAACAATTCTGTGTCTGTCCCTGAGTAACAATTCTGTGTCCCTGAGTATCAGTTCTGTGTCCCTGAGTAACAATTCTGTGTCCTGAGTAACAGTTCTGTGTCCCTGAGTAACAATTCTGTGTCCCTGAGTAACAATTCTGTGTCCCTGAGTAACAGCATTCTGTGTCCCTCAGTAACAATTCTCTGTCCCTCAGTAACAATTCTGTGTCTGTCCCTGAGTAACAATTCTGTGTCCCTCAGTAACAATTCTGTGTACCCCTCAGTAACAATTCTG